GCACTGGAGCAACTTACTGGGGCCACAGGCATCTGCCAGCTCCCATTATGGGCAAACTCTGCCAAGCAAGAGGGGATGAAGTGCAGCTTCTTCTCACTGGCCGCAACTGAACAAACCCCAGACCTCCTCCCATTGTTCTGGCTCATTTGGCCTGGCTGGGACAAGGAGCTCCTGTGACTTTTGGGGGAATGGGGTATATCCTGGTCCTATGTACTCATCCAGCTTTGGCTTTGTCCAGAGGGTTTGAAATCATAGGGAACCAGTTACCATGCCGATTCCCCAGGGTCCAGGACCCTCAGAGTCTGTCTCAGTAGGTCTGGGGTGAGGCCGTGGAACCTGAATTTTTAATAAGCTCCTAGGTAATATGAGGGCTTCCCTGGTGGCTCAGCTGGTGAAGAATCTTCCTGAAATGTGGGAGACCTGGGTTTGATCCCTTGATGGGAAGACCCCCTGGAGAAGGGAACAGCTACCCACTCCAGTATTCTAGCCTGAAGAATTCCATGCGCTGTGTAGTCCATGGGGTCACAAAGAATCGGACACGACTGAGTGACTTTCACTTTCTGAATGGCCTAGGTGATATGAGGACCAGATTTTTCTTTCATTATTTATTGGGGACCAACTTTTTCATCCACACTCCTATACCCTCCTAGATGATAGGAGTTGTACCACAATGTACACCATCACTTACTAACTGGGGGACCTTGAGCAGCTCACCATCCTTCAGTTTCCTTATGTATAAAATGGAGTTAAAAAAGAATCAACCTCCTGGAGGAAGTTTAAATAAGATAATACACTTAAACACTATGTGCCCAACCACCTCAAAAGCCCTCAACAAATGGAGGGGGTATTTTTATTAATAAGACTTGTTTCATTAAAGGGTAAGCCAGTCAAGCCTTTGGGTTTACGTACCCAGTTATTTAAGGCTCTCAGTTATTTAGAATGAATTTCTGCCATACAAGGAATCAGGCCAAGTTTCCAATTCTTTTTCATTCACCACAGCAAGTATTTTGGCATATTTGAGTCTTGAGAAATGGAGATGTCCCTACTTCCAGTCCTTGCTATCTTCTTATCCTCATCCACACTCCTTTCTTACCTCAAACAAACATGCCCTTCATCCTGTCCCTGTGAGTTGGAGGGGGCAGGAAGGGGGATGCAGAAGTGAGCTTCTCCAGTTCAGCCACCCTGGCTCCCATCTCTGCCTCGGGTTGCACAAGGCAAGTGTAAAGGACAGATGCAAAACCAGGGGGAAAAAGAATGACAAACTGGAGGTCACATCTCTCTTCCCTCCCAAAAGGAGAAAAAGTACAAGGGCAGGGGGGTGTGTGGGCGAGAGGGGTCACACCTGTGTCAGTTACCAATTCTTCACCACGGCCCACAAAGCTCTCACAAAGTAGTTCTTGGCTTTCACTTAACTTTCCAACTCCACTTTCAACCGTGTACATTCTGTAGTCACACCACTTAGCTCCTTGATCATGCTCTCGCCATGAGTGAGACTTTTCACATGCTGTTTCCTTCCTCCTGTATTGCTCTTCTCCCCCTTCACTTAATAACCTTCTCATTCCTCGAAACTCAGCTTAAACCTTGTTCATTCAGGGAGGCCTTCTCTGGCCAACTCTCCCCAATCTATTTTGGGATCTGCAGTTACATCTTCCCATGGTGCCCTGTGTGTTCCGTTCCTATACCTCATCACCTGTCCAATGTCTGTTCTCCGTCCCCAACCTACTACCTCTATAAGGGCAGAGCTATGTCTTCTTAGTCACTGCTTAATACATTGTTGTTGGTTAGTTAAACTCAGGGGGCACTACAGTACCATCCTGGAGTAAAATGCAGTAGTCTTTACAGAGTTCTCCTTTAAAAAATATATGTATTCTAAGCAAAAGCCAGGAGACACTGGGTAGGAAAATTGTTATAATTTTTCTTTTAGAAACCCTCCCAGATGGAAATATCTAATTTACAAAATTAGGGAATAATTTTCGCTGGTACTAGCTAGGGATTAAACAGAAAACTAGCAGGGTCTTCCAGTGTAATGTAGTTTCTCAAAGAACATGTGAGGGATATAAAATAGAATGGCAGGAATTCCCTGGAGGTCCAGTGGTTAGGCCCCAACACCTGCACTCCCCAGGGAGCAGGTTCAATCCGTGGTTTGGCATGGACAAATAAAATAGGACGGCATCAGAGACAGAAGAACTAAAAGCTTAAAACCCAGCTAAAGGTAAACTTCATGGTGGTTCCTCAAACGTGCCCCCCACCTTCCTGCCTCAGGTCTTTGTAACGCCGTTCCCTCTGCCAAAAGTGCCGTCCCCTCTTTGCCCCTCTAACCTTTGAGAACAAAGTTCCTCACTCTTTAAGGATTTCAAACACTTCCAAACTCCACGCCAACCTCCGTTTGCTGAGAGGAGCGCTCTAGTCGCTCTCAGGCGCATGCACGTCAGCCCACACGCACCACGCCGGCCCACGCACGCACCAAGCCAGCCCACGCACGCACGTTCGCAAGCACGCACCCGCCCAGCTACCTACCGACCGACCTCGTGTAGGCCCACCTGGCACCCGTGCCCCAGGCGGCCACGGTTTCTGCTGATTGTTACAAGCCCAGGTTCCTACCTCATCCGAGTTCCCTGATGACGAGAAAATATGTGTTGGTCACTTGCAAAAAGTTCTTCTGCTGAGCCTTTTTTCTCTAGGAACCTCTTTTACTTCCCCATCAAATACCCTGGAAGTTTCATATTATTTTTCCGTCCTATTTACGATTCTTGCTTGTTTGAGATATTTTAATAATTTCATCAAAGTTAGAGCTGAAAACGTCACTATTCGGGTAGGCGGGGGGGGGGGGGGGGCAGAATTTTAAAAACATGTATTTGGCTGCACCGGGTCTTCGCTGTGGCATCTGAGATCTTTGATCTTCCTTGCCGCACTCAGCCTCTTTAGTTGCGGCATGCGGGATCTAGCTCCCTGACCAAGGATGGAAGCCAGGCCCCCTGCATTGGGAGCGGAGTCTTAGCCACTGGACCATCAGGCGAGTCCCTAAAAGTGTCTTTAAAGATAATCATAATGATGGCAGCAGCACTTGCCATCTTGCCAAAGCTTACTCTGTGCCAGGCTGTTTTTAAGAAATACCATTAGTGCTCTTAAGAAATAACAGCACTAATAATATGAGTTCTGTTGTCATCTCCATTTTATAGAGGAGGAAACTCAGGTCCAGACAAGTTAAACAACTTGCCCATTGTCACACAGCTGGTGAGTCATGGAGGTAGTGCCTCCCTCATGAGACAAAGTAGATACAGGCCGAGGGCCACAATATGTTTAGAGGCCACAGGAATGTTTTGTTTCGGAATAAGGAGGAAAAGAAATTCAAAATTTAGGTTGAAGACAGACTTTTTTTGCATTTACTATTAATATAAATGTATTTGTGCAAGTGTTGTAAAATATAATTTTTATTAATTTTTTATGGAAGAGATTCGTGAAGGCAGAAGTACCCTAAGAACCCACAGAGGTTGTGACCTCGGTGGAGTCAGAAGTCCAATGAAGTAAGTACACCCCCAAAGTTCGTGTTTCCTCTACTCTAGTCTAACTCCACATTGTTGCTGTTGTTAAGTCACCAGGTCGTGTCCGACTCTTTGCCACCTCGAGTACTGCAACCTGCCAGGCGCCTTTATCCATCAGATTTCCCAGGCAGGAACCCCGGAGTGGGTTGCCATTTCCTTCTCCAGGGCATCTTCCCTATTCAAGGATCGAACCCGCGTCTCCTGCTTGACAGGTGGATTCTTTACCTCTGAGCCACCTAGGAAGCCCAACCCTTGGTGTTTTTACAATAGTGAAAATTGCAGTCCAAGGCCACACAACAAGTGGATGGCAGAAGGCAAGCCGAGAAAACAGGTTTCCGGGGCCAACCGTGTTAACTACCCATGTGATCCAACAGCACCACCTAGTGGTCTTTCCGGGAACTTCGCTTGAAGAGGGTGCAGGTCCAAATACTCCTGGGAAACAACTGCCAGTGTACACGTGGACTCCATACTCAGTAGTAGCGGAACTCAGATACACCCCAGAGCAGCCGCAGGGCCCTCTGGGCTCTGGCAGAGATGGGCTACATGTTTGGGGACCCTTTCTTCTCTTCTCCTGGTCACACAACACTCCCAGCCTTCTCTACAAGTCATGTGATTTGTTTTCACTGATAGAACTGATAGAACGTTCGTCAGCTCTGGGCCAGGGTAGTCAAGAGTGGGCGTGTTCTCTCCTGTCCTTCAGTCTGTCTTCCCTCATCCCCCAGTTGGGTTTAGGGGATTCAGGTGAGGACTCTGAGGCTCTTGGAGATGGCAGAGCCACCAGATAGATGGGGGAAGCCTGGGTCCCCAGATCACCTTGTGGTGGGTGACCCGCTGAACCTCAGATTGCACTGTGCTGTAAGAAATATATCTTTATTTTGTCAGTAAGTTTGAGCAACTGGGATTCGGGCCGTTTGTTATAGCAGTGAGGCAACCCTGACCCTTACAGGTTCTCGGGGTGGGGTGGGGGGAGGGCGGTGTGTGCAGAAGGTAAACAGGGAAACGACTTCCTCCCTAAACTGTGGGCTCCCCTGGGATTCAGCAGTTCTGCTCCGGGTCCCTTCAACAGAATGTAGAGTAAGGCCAGGGAGGTGCTCCCCCATACCCGGCTCCACTTAGCACCTTGAGAACTGAAAGAGCTCCCTCCCCTGCCCCAGGTCTGCTGCTGAAACACTTACAGGTTCCATTGTTTGCCTCCCAGGAGTGGCTTGGCTGGCAATGGTGATGGCGGGGGTGGGGAGCTCTGCAAATAGCTAGGGTCTCTGAGGGCAGACAGGTGGCAGCAGGTGGGGCCCCCTGAATCCCACCTTAGAGTAGACCCGTGCCCCTCCCCTGCTCGGTGGAGGAGGCAGGGCTGGACAGAACAGAGAGGGGGTGGGTGGTGCTGGCAGCGTCTCTACCCTGCAGGGTCCACGTGGACCATCGGAAAAGGAAGGAGCAGCTTCTGAACCCCCAGCTCATTCACATCAGCTGGTCTGTTCGCCGTGAGACATGGAAGATGTTACTTTTGATATAAAAGCTCTTTGCGATAGGCTGGAACCTGGCATAAGTTGGAGGCTTGGTGTCCTTCATGGCTTCCCCTGGAATGCAACAAGGGCCTGGTGGAGCCTGGGCCACCACACCTCCTGCCAGCCCAGCACAGCACACAGCCCCAGCGGCTCTGGGTGCTGGACAGTGAAAGGCTCCCGTGCAGTTAGTAGCCCCTGACCCCTATCAAAGGCCCCCCTCCCCTTCCTTAGAATCTACTAACTAAACGGTATGCCTGGCAAAGCATAGGAAACTCAACACCCTGCTTTGGCCCCATGGCCAGGATCTGCCCTGATGGATGGCACCTAGGGCTCTCTGCTGCTGCTGCTGCTGCTGCTGCTGCTAAGTCGCTTCAGTTGTGTCCGACTCTGTGCGACCCCATAGACGGCAGTTGATCGGGCTCCACCGTCCCTGGGATTCTCCAGGCAAGAACACTGGAGTGGGTTGCCATTTCCTTCTCTAATGCATGAAAGGGAAAAGTGAAAGTGAAAAGTGAAAATGAAGTCACTCAGTTGTGTCTGACTCTTAGAGACCCCATGGACTGCAGCCCACCAGGCTCCTCTGTCCATGGGTTTTTCCAGGCAAGAGTACTGGAGTGGGGTGCCATTGCCTTCTCCGTAGGGTTCTCTAGTTTTTAACTATTTTGACAGCATCCCTACCCCAGGCTCACTTCCCCCTCATCACATTTCTCCCCTCGTCCAGCGACTCCCCTCTCACTCCAGTGCTCCCCGGCAAACACCTCCAGGGTCCTGCCCAAGGCTGAACTAGCTCCCCAAATGCCTACTGGCTGCAAATCCTGCCTGTTGAATTAATAATAAAAATAACATCAGTAACCACTTCTTGCGCATTTACTATGTGCCAGGCACTAGACGAGTGCTCTCTATGTGTAAAAGTCACTTAGGGCTGACCCAGCTGGGGCCCAGACAGTGCCTTCAACCCCTCTGTTCCATGGCTGTTTACACCCACTGGGAAGACGCAGCTCCTGTCTGTAACTGTTGGGGAGGGGAGAAGGGGTCAGCAGAAGTCTGTCCACCTGTTCCCCTTCTGGTCTATGAACTGGTTGGCTTAGGGGCATGAGGCTAGACACAGCTTAAACAGAATGTTCCAGAGATTCTGGGAGCAACTGTGGCTTCAACAGAACACTATGAGGGAAAACTAAACTCTGTCCTGAGCCTGTACTGCCCTTGTACCCAGGGGGTCATTCAGAATCAGCTCCTCTGACCCCAGTGCTTGGGTTGCTGGATAAAATGCAGGGTGTCCAATTACATCTCAGTTTCACGGATCCTTTTTTCAGGATAAGTATGTCCCATGCCATAGTTGGGGCCTACTTACACTAAAAGGTTATTGCTTATCTGAAACACAAATGCAACTGGGCAGTTTGTATTTTAATCTGCTCCATCGGCAACCCTGTGCTTGACAGGGGCTTCAGAGGCAGTGGGCATGGACCCGTGGGCCTAGCAGAAGGGAGGAACAGGGAAGCCCTGTGTGATGCCTATCTCGCTCCGTAGACAGAGGGAGTCAGGCTGTTCTCAGAAGAATCTGATGGAGGAGATTTGGCCTGGGACTCTACTCAAACATGCCGTTCCAGCAGGCCTTCGCTGGCCACCTTGTGTACTACCGAGCAGCCCCTTCGCCTCTATCTCTGTCTCCTGATTTACCACTTCTTAAAGCCTCAATTGTGACCCATGGACCGAACCGATAACATCAGTGTCATCTGGGAGCTGGTTAGAAATGCAGAATCTCGCCCCATCCCTGAAATTCATTGAAAGATCACAACCCACATTTTAACAAGATCCCCAGGTGATTCCCCAGATGACAATAAAGATTGAAAAGCACAGTTGTGTAGCAGGGACCACTGCCTGACTCTACTTCATCTGTCTGTCACGAGCCCTCTGTGAGGGGCCATGTCTGTCTGCCTCTCTGCCAGACACTCCAGGACAAAAAGAGGAGCATATACGAGGTGCTCAGTAAACATCTGTTGAATGAATGAACAAATGAATGAACCAGAATTCAAACCCAGTCTGATAATTATCAACCTGCATAGCTCTATGGCTGTTGGTTCGCTGACTCATTTTGGGGCAGAGCTGGGATTCAATGGCTCCACATCTCCCCCTACTGGCTGTTCTGAACAAGATTCTACCAGGATTACATGCAGAAGGAATGTGTGTCCTTCCCACCTCATGCAGCTTTCTGAGAGCTAACTCCTGCTCAAGGTGCTCTCCCACCAGATTTCCCCCAAGACTCTGTGACAAAGGAAGGGCAGTACTTGTTTGTCCCCATTTTTTGGATGTGGTAACTGAGGCCCAGAGAAGTTAAGGTTCTTGCTTGAGCTTACACAACATGAAAGTCATGAAGCTAGGATTTGAATTCACACTTCTTAATTCCAAATCAAAGCCTCATTCCCTAGTTCATATTCATTTTGCCCACAGTTCCTGAGTGCCAGCCCCAACCTGGGAGCTGGGAGGGCATTAATGACCTTAACTAAGAAGCCCCGGAACCTCAAGGCCTCACCAGGCTAGAGGGATACTCAAGGAATGGCGATGGTGCTTGTGTAAACTCAGAAAGCTATGAGCGCACAAAGATGGGCTTATCTGCCTGGAGGACTCCTGGAAGACTTCTCGGAGGAGGTGACATCTGAAAGTTAGCCAGCTGAGGGAGGGCAGAAGAAAGAGCAGAGTGTGAGAAATCTGGAGCCCCGCTCAGAGCATAGTGAGCCAGGGGAATGTGATGAGGGCCAAGGCTGGGCCCGCCTGCTGAAATGGCAAGAGGGTGGTGGCCCTTACCCATGTGCCAGCTGTACTCCCAGGATGACACTATCAGGTACAGAAACTTCTCCTTGGGCTTCTGCTGATACCGCTCCCGGAGGTACGCGGCCCGGCCTTGGCCGTCATGGGAGACGCCTTGGAAGAGCAGCTGCAGGGTGCTGGGGGGGAGCACCACGGGTTTGGTCTGATCTGCAGGCCCCCGAGTTGGTTTTTGGGCCTGCCAGCCTCTGTCTACCTTGGGCGCAGGGCCCTGGACACCCACTCCCCTGGACAGCTGACCCTGGAGCCCCCTGGTCTCTGGCCATCCAGCAGGTACCTCCTTGCTGTCAGGGGCGCTGGTGGCCTGCGATGGCCCCGCTCCCAGGACCGACCGGAAGGGGGCCTTCTGAGGCCGCTTCCTGGGCAAGGCTCCCTCTGGGTGCTTGTGGCCGTGGTTGAGGTTCCAGGCCACCCGAGCCGCAATCTCCTTGCGGATGTGCTCCTGCCAGCAGGCTTGCTTCTGGGAGGTGAACAGATCCTTCATGGCAGTGTGGGGGAGGGGCCGGGGCGGGAGGAAACATTCTGCAGCCTGTGTTTGCACCCCGGTGCCTCGTCTCCAGGGATACGTGCAGCCAATGAGGGCTGAGTTGCCGAGGTCCTGCTGGCAAGCCCCGCCCCCGGGGCTGCCTGGCAGGGGGCCACATTCTCCCCGAAAGGAACCAGGGCCGGCGCCTTTGCCCTTCATACCCAAAGGATCCCCGGTGGCATATAGGGTTCCACAGCCTCTCTTCTATCTGGCATACCCAAGTGTACCCCTAACTGCGTGCCAGGCACCCAGGGGAGTCTAAAAGAGAGGTCCAGTCTCCACTCCAGGAGACTCTGGACACTGGCTGGGAGCCAGCCCCTCACACAGCTCTGCCACCTGACAGCTACACGGCCTCATCTGTGCAGCGAGGTGATGGTGGGACCTTCAGTGTTCAGACAGGGACATTAGGACAGTGTAAACAACGGGGCAAACAGCGCCTGGCACAGAGGACATGTCAGCTGATGACTAACAAGCACCTGCTAGGTGCCAGCTGCTAGTCTGAGCTCCATGCGCCTTAAGCCACCCACTTGATTACTGGGGCTCTCATAGCCTCCTCTTCAGGTGGGCAAAGGGAGGCCTGAAGAAATACTGTGCCCTGGGCACACTGCCCATGTGCGCCAGGCCTGGGCTGGGGGCTTCACTGAGTAACCCTACTCAGGGACTTCTTAATAGGCTCTCTTATGCCATTTTTCCAGGTGAGAAAAGTGATGCTCAGCACTGTTAAATGGTTGCACTGGGACTGACTCCAAAACCCACAGCTCCGTTACAGACCCTCCTCTGAGACAGGCATCGTGAGCGAGGCAGAGGCAGGATGGGGCGGAGGACCCACCAGCAGGACCGTGAAGTCAGCCTCCTGGATCCTCACACTCTGCCTCCCTGTCCCAGAGAGTTTACCCACAGTGCCCTGGGGCCGCTTCCCTTTCTGCTCTGCTGGGCGTGCTTTCGTTTATTCATTCAACAAACATTCACTTTCTCTTGACCCTGTGCCAGGCACCCAGCCAGGTATAAAGGTAGATGAGAAGGGCCAGAGCCCACAGGCTTCCTACCCTCAGTGTTTCTCCATCCAGGGGAGACAGATACATAACCAGATGGATAGAAGGGCAGGCAGGGAATTAGGGGGGTGGTCTGGGTAGTCTTCCTGGAGGAGGTGTCCTTTGATTGAGAACTGAACCATGAACACCAGTTCATGGCAACTCTCTTGCCACGAGGCAGGTTAAGTGAGGATGGAGGGAGGAAAGTCTAGAGTTAGGGGCCTGGGGGTGCCAAGACCCTGGGGTCAAACGGTGGTGGGGTGGAGAACTCAAGGAAGCATCCGTGGCCCAGACCGCCCCCACCCACAGACTGGTTAGGCCAGGTGCTCAGAGCACAAGAGGGTGGAGGCAGACATCCTTCTCCCTTGGAGCTTCGGAGATCCTGTGCCTTCCCCACCACCAGGGCTCCCCACGGTGCCACAGTTTGAGTGTCTGAGGCCACCCCTGGTGGTCAGCGAGGTAACAACAGCCCAGGCAGCTGTCCTCTCACCCAGCGGACAGGCCTCCCCCCTCCGTGGGAGGGTGCAGAGAGGCACCCCTAAAGTGCTGCCTTTCAGTGGGCCCAAGGACAGCCAACTACCCACAAGGCGACCCGCCTTCCGATTCTGTTCCGGTGTTAAGGTGTCCAACCTGGGCGAGGCCCCTTGAAACAGCTTCAGGACCCCAAGTTTTAGTTTAGATTTCCGGAGTTTTAACACAGCCTTGATCATCACTGTCCTTTCTGAGTCTGGGCACACTCCCCTGTAAAAAATTGCAGGTGATCCTAACAGTGCTTAGCATTGTTATTTATATTTTTCTTACTATAGATTTTGAAACTCGTCTGTAAGCCACCAACAGGGACTTTCCTGGTGGTCCAGTGGCTAAGACTCTGTGCTCCCAATGCAGAGGGCCCAGGTTCTATCCCTGGTCAGGGAACTAGATCCCATATGTCTCAACTAAGAGTTCACATGTCACAACTAAGACCTGGCAAAACCAAATAAGTATTAAAATATAAATAAAAGCCACCACCCACCCTAGAAGTGTGGGGGCAGCCCCCAGGCCTGCCTCTGGTCTCTGTGAGCAGGGTCACAGGTGCACCTGAGTCTCCACCCCGCCTTCTGGCCACACCCCCAGGCCACCAGGGACCCATGCTGTCCACTCCCGCTGATGACCCAACCCTAGTCCCCAGCCTGTAACTCTGTCCAAGGGCCTCTCCTAGGACTCAGCACTTGTGCCTTTAAAGTAGCTTCTCCTGGAATTAAGCTCTCAGAGCAGAAGAATCATTTTAGGCACTGAGCGAGTAATAATAATTTTGTGAACCTTGTCAGTGATATTCTCTACGGCATCTTGTTGGTTAATCCTAAGAACACTCTAAGGAGTAGGTCCCATTACCCCATGTCACCGGAGAAGATAAGGGAGGCACTGTTTCCTGTGAGTGTGTGTGATCGGCCGGAGGTCACAGATTTGAATCTGCCGGCCTGTGCTAATAGCCCCCATGATAAAGTTTCTCCACACACCGTGCTTCCCCCTGTGAGGTACCCCTTCCACTTCACCTCGGGCAGCTGAGTCTCCTCAAAACTCATGCAGCCCCTCTCCCGGCAGCTCAGCTGGGAGATGGATGTGTTGTGAGATCTTTCTGAAGATTCATCTTAGAGTGGATTTCCCCATTATCTTCCCATTTTATGGATAAAGGCCCTGAGGCACAAGAGAAGGTAACTGCCTGAGGTGTGTGAACTGAGACTGGAAGCCAGACTTTCTGACCTTCTGCTTGCTGAGTGTTTCTCACACATGAGTTTCCTCTGCTGCTCCTAGCAGGGCCTGAAGCAGGCATTTCTGGGGCTTGGTGCCTCTGCCAAGGCTTCCTTCTCTGATATCACCCCACTGGCGCCCAGCATCAGCTTTGCCCCAAGAATGTCCATGCTGACAGGGAGAGGTGTCTGGTGCTTGGGAAGGCTGCGGTCATGGTAAAGGCAGAGGGAGTAATGTGGGCAATAAAAGGCTTGCAGATTCTTCCATCTTCGAGCTTTGTCCTGGGGAGATAAAGCAGGCCCAACATACTGAACACCCTTGGATGCGAGCCACAAGTGAGGCTCGTAAGTTCCCCACCTCCTGCAGGGCTGGTTGGGAGAACTCTTGAGGAAGAAAGAAGGCGTGTAGGGTGGGCCACCCTAAATGCCTTGCACATTAGCTGGTCCCCTGTGGGCTCAGGGGCCCAGACAAAAGCCTTATCACAAAGCAGAAAGGATCTCTTTGTCTAGAAGGATTCCTCCCACCATGTGTTTGGGCAGCACCCTGAGGACAAAGCAGAGGGAAAAAATGGGACTCGGCCTTGCCTTGAGTGATGTGACATTTTCACTCCCTCTTGGAGTTATGATTTGCTATTGTGAGGAGCAGAAAAAATTAGCCAAACAAGCTATGTTTCTGGGAGAGTTTTCATTAGTTGAAATTAGTTGATTACAAAACCCCATCTTCCCACGAGTTAATGGAGACTTGGAGAGAGTCCATCCTTTTGGTCAAACACTGAAGCCAAAGGGCACTTGAATTAACAATCTTGCCCATTTTAAAATACAAACTTGGTGGGGGTTGACGAGGATTGAGCACCCATTTTGCCATTAATCTTTACTCTGCTAATTTCTAAGCCTGTGCAGTTTTCAAGGAAAATTAAATCCCTGTGTGCCCAACTCACTTTACACAAAACTCATCAAAATGTGGCTTTCAAGGCCCCTTTGAAGTCTTAAGACCAGACATGTGGACAAGGGCCCATGTTAATAAAAGGCTTCCTCCCTGGTTGCATTGCTTCCCTGAGTTGCAGAGGGAAACTGGGTGAGGAACAGGAGGGTGTCTGGGCGTGGAGGGGGACGGACCTGTTCTGAGTTGGAGGTCTCTGCATGGCAGCTAGAAGCTGTTGTGCGCCTAACTTCCACTGGTCACCATAGAGTGATGGTCTAGCCAGCTCTTAGTTGGAAAGGGACAGAGTCAACCAGTGAAAGTCAGAAAGGCCCTGGCACCCGGTTGGTAAAGGGTCAGGTTTCAAAGTTTTCAAGGTGTTTGTACAAACAACAGCTGGTTCCCATAGCAGCAAGTCCAGGTGCAGATAACAACTGCGCTGTGGTACTAGCCACTGACCAGTTGAGAAATGCACAGGTTTCATCCTGAGACGTCCTTCAGGTAGTTGCCAGGGGAAATGCCAGGAGCAGCACCTCTGTACTAACAAGGAGCCTGTGGAGGAGGCCCATCACCTCTGGCAGGGTTTGATCACAGACAGCAGTGGCCAAGACTCTCACAGCTCCCAGAGGGCGCTCAGCTGACCCTCACAGCCTCTCCTGGGAGGTGGGGGCCACACTCTTGAGAGGTGAAGCAGCTTCCCCAAGCCACGTTGCCAGCGAGTGGCCGAGCCAGGACGTAATCCCCAGGTTACTTGATGCTAAAGTCCAGCTGTTAATTTACAAATGCTGCCTCCCCAGAAACCAGCCAGGCTTCAATAGGGTGGGATCTCTTTGGGCAAACACAGCCTACCGTGGCCTCTCCAGATCCACTGGAGACAGCCTGCATTCCACAAAGCCCACGGATGTCCTGGAGTCCAGGAACAGACGTTCACGGCACAGGCCCACAGACAAGGCAGCTCTCTCCAGAACAATGGGCAGCAAGACTCTCCATCCCTCCAGTCCTCCTCCCACCTCTCAGAGGTACACACGCATCACCGCTGGGCATCGGGAAGGATACACACCAAAAGAAGCCTTCCTCTCCACCACCCCACCCCCAGTGCAGGGCCGGGGGTCCAGAATGGACTTCCTGTCATCATGGCACCTGCTGGCCCCCAGGGGAGAGGGAGGGATCCTGGGTTCCTGCTGTGTCTCTGCTCCCACAGCAGGATGAGAAGAGAAGTAGAGCTCCCACTCTGGGGACAAAAGGCAGGGGCCAGAATCTGCCCCCAGTGAGCCTCGAGAC